GGAGGGGCGGTGGGGGGGAGCGGGCGGGCAGGGGGGGTGTCAATTGGGAAAAAAGGAGACATATGTAAAACTTTAGACAATTAAAACAAATAAAAATAATGAACAAAAAAAAGATTACTGGAGACCTCTTTTGTTTTTTTTTCTTTTCCTCCTCTTTTTTTGTTTGTTTTTTTGCCAATGCCTGATTCCTGGCTTGTATTAGTGAACTTCGAGATAAAGGCATTACAACTGAGAAGTCATATATTTTTTAAACTTTTGGATATAATTTTACTTTATTTTTAATACTGAAATGTGGATGTAATCTTATTAACATGATTACTTCTGTACTGATATTTTTTCCAGAAATGTTGGCTATGTCTTGAAAATTCCACTTAATTATGTTTTAATCCTTAACTTAAAAGTTAACAGCTTGCAAACATTTGCTATTCCAGGTTCTATATTTCTCAGTATACTCTCAGGGTTTCTTTATCCATTTCCACTGGCCTTATTTCTTGTTTGTTTGGTAAGTATATTAAATCAAATTGGAAAACTATAAAAAACAGCTTAAAATAGAAGGAAGAGGAGGAGGGGAAGGGGGAGGAGGAGGAGGAGGAGGAGGACATTACTAGTCCCACTTATTTATATAAACGTAAACTCATTAGTTTTAAGAGGAGTTTAATGTTAATTTGTTAAGTCCCTCCATAAGGATGTGTTATTTTAGATTAACTTAGGTTCTTTTTTTTCCTGGAACAGGGGTATCATAGACTTGATTGCATTTATAGGCTCTGTTTTAACCTTTTCTTCTTCTATTGCAATGGTTCTCAACCTTGGCTGCACATTAGAATCACCTGGGAATCTTTTTAAAATCCTGATTTCTGGGCCCGAATGAGGGATTTTAAAAAGATTCCCAGGTGATTCTAATGTGCAGCCAAGGTTGAGAACCACTGTTCTATTGTATTTTGTAATTCAAACAGTCCAAGAGTATTGATTGACAATGAATTAAGTCGCAGAGCTGGGGATGGTGTTTTCAAGCAAAGCAATTGAAAGAAAAAATTGGCTCTTGAAGTTTTATTCTTAGGCTAAAGGCTAACATTAACTATTTTGATATAGTCACTAAATTTAATTGTAAGTGTCAGTTAGTTTTAGCTGATCTTAGTTTAGTTATAATTTGGTCTGAGAAAGGACTCGATCAAATGGGTTCTTGCTCTCTGCACAAGAGATGGCGTGCAGAGTATCCTTCCCAGCCCCCAAAGAAGTAAAGTAGTTCAGCATTTCCTTAGGTGAATATATCCATATGAATAACTACAAAATGCTCATGGCTTCTTATTGTTTTCTAGTGTTCTGGACTTGGTGCCTCATTCTGCTATATGCTCTCCTATTTAGTTGGGAGACCAGTTGTATACAAATATCTAACAGAGAAAGCAGTAAAATGGTCACAGCAGGTAAACATGTGTTTTTAAATTATTTAATGTAAGTCTTTGGCTAATTGGGAGGTCAATATATAGTCCTTACATAAATTAACTCAGACTCAAGGCTTTAATAAAAATGATCTTTTGGCCAAAATAAAATCAAGTGGGAAGCAAATGATAAATGTTAATAATTTCAAAGACAAAGTTTTTGTACCCATAACAATAATTTTAATTCTTCATTTCTAGTAAGTTCAATTAGAGCAGAGAAGTCAAAATGTCAGTGTAAAGGCAACCACATATTTAGATGCTTCACCTGTTTTGTGTTGATGTAGTTATGTTGTCAGTGAAAAACTTGTAATGAAAAACTCCTCTAATGCATTTCACCTGTGGGAACAACTCTTATCTTTTTATGTATATACTAGAGGCCCGGTACACGGATTCGTGCACCAGCGGGGTCCCTAGGCGTGGCCTGCACCCTCTCACAATCCGGGATCCCTTGGGGGATGTTGGACTGCTGGTTTCAGCCTGATCCCCGCAGGCCAGGCCAAGGGACCTCACCGTTGCACGAATTCGTGCATCGGGCCTCTAATATGCATATAAGATCTTTAGTTAATCTCTTCCTGCCCTCCCCCCTATCCCTCTGAGATTCATCAGTCTGTTCCATGTTTCCATGCCTGTGCATTGAGCGTCTGCCCCCTGGTGGTCAGTGCGTGTCATAGCTACCGGTTGAACGGTTGAGTGGTCCAACCATTGCTTAGGCTTTTATATATATTGATATATTTCATTGATTTCAGAGAGGAAGCAAGAGGGAGAGAGAGAAAGAAATACCAATGCTGAGAGAGAATCATTGATCGACTGCCTCCTGCATGCCCCTCACGGGCTTAAGCCTGCAACCCAGACATATGCCCTGACAACCGTGACCTCCTAGTTCATAGGTTGATGCTCATCCACTGAGCTGCACTGGTCTGGCACAACTGTTATCTTTAGTCAGGGTCTCTGCAAAGACTAGCAATATAAAGTAAGCTATACTATACAGAAAAATCTAACATAGTATTGCTAAGAAAATTCTATTTTTATAAAGAATCAAAAGAAACACTTAACTCAGGAATTTTATAGATTACCTTTGCCTTATCCCTTTGTTTTATGATTAGCATATTAACAGAAATTAAGCATTTGACCTAGAATCAAACATTTATTTACTTGTAAAGCAAGGTGCAGAATCTCAGATCTCTAGACTTTTAGTCCAGTGCTCTTCTCACTTTACCGCATATGTACTGAATATTAAAATTAATTTACATGTGGTCCTGGCTGGATGGCTCAGTTGTTTAGAACATCATACTCATATACACCAAAGTTGTGGGTTTGATCCCCATTAGGGCACATTTAAGAAGCAACCAATGAGGCGCCCCTAGCCGGTTTGGCGCAGGGTATAGAGTGTCAGCCTGCAGACTGAAGGGTCCTGGGTTCGATTCCGGTCAAGGGCACATGCTTGGGTTGTGGGCTTGATCCCCAGTTGGGGGCGTGTAGGAGGCAGCCGATCAGTGATTCTCATCATTGATGTTTCTGTCTCTCTACCCTTCTCCTTTCTTCTCTGAAATCAATAAAGATATATTTAAAAAAAGAAGCAACCAATGAGTGCATAAATAAGTAGAACAATAAATCAATGTCTCTCTTGCTCTCAAAATAAATAAAATAAAATTATTTTACATATATTTTTGGAATACCTATTTTTCATAAGTAAGCTTGTTATTCAAAGGAAGTATTAACTAATGTAATCATTGCCTATATTTAATTGGTTAACTATTTCCATATACTTTAATCTCATTTATTTTTATTTATTTTTAAAATATTTTTATTGATTTTAGAGAGGAAGGAGAGGGAGATAGAGATAGAAACATCAATGATGAGATAGAATCATCGATTGGCTGCCTCCTGCATGCCAATGGTAAAATAAAGATCAGAAATTTTTAAAAATTGAAGGCTGGTGCCCTGACCAGTTTGGCTCAGTGGCTAGAGCGTCGGCCTGTGGACTGAAGAGTCCCAGGTTCGATTCCGGTCAAGGGCATGTACCTTGGTTGCAGGCACATCCCCAGTAGGGGGTGTGCAAGAGGCAGCTGATCGATGTTTCTTTCTCATGGATGTTTCTAACTCTCTATCCCTCTCCCTTCCTCTCTGTAAAAAATCAATAAAATATATTTTTTTTAAAAATTGAAGGCTGGGTATGCTAATGTGTTATATTAGCCCTTTACATTATAGGAAGTTAAAGGCATTGAAAAGTTGATTACTTGATGTGTTTCTTATATCTAGTCATAAGTTTAATTTTGCCATTTTAGGTTTAAAATGTCATTGTTGAGGCATCATTATCTAGGTTGGTATAGAACCATCTTTAGTAACATTAAGCTTTAAGCACAATTTAAAAAACCTCTCATCCCAAGTTAATTTAGCTCTGGTAGTGAGCATTTGACAAGTAGTTCATTGTCATTTTCAAGCTCCCTTTTGATTATTGCTATTGGATAAACTCTGAACTATCAAGGATGAGAATTTGAAATAAGGTATTTTATATTAAGCACATTGTTTTCAAGATTGACTTTATCTTGATCCCAATTCTTTTCTTTCTTGACAGGTTGAACGTCATAGAGAACATCTCATTAACTACATTATATTTTTGAGAATAACACCATTTCTGCCTAATTGGTTTATTAATATTACATCTCCTGTGATAAATGTGCCATTGAAAGTTTTTTTTATTGGCACTTTTCTAGGTAAGGTCTCTGGTTCACTCTGTATTAGAACTCATTGTGTACATATCTAGCAGTGTCCAGCTGGGCTGGATTTCATGCTTTGCAGACATGCCAGGACAGTGGCACAGTGCCTGGCCTGTGTAAACAGATACTCAGAAATGTTGGTTGGATTGTCTTAATTTAAGTATTTTTGTGTTGCTTCTTTTAAAGAGGAGCATTCTCTATGGATATTTTTTTAATCATGCAGGATTACTAGTAAGCAGGATTTTTAAACTCCATTTTCTCCTTCAGTGGAGAGAAAAAAAGTGCCTTTTTTGAATAATTTTCTCCTTTGTCCTCTAATCAGGCACTGAAATATTGAACTTTCAGTAAAGAATTGATCCTATTTTTTATTTTATTGAAATCAATATTTATTATGGGCATTACCAAAAGTGTGTGGGAAGCAAGGATTAACAAATATATTGCTTTCAAGGAGCTGCACTTAATTTTGAAATTAATCAGTGGATATAAAGATTCATTTGTATATTTTATGAATTCTAATGGTTCTTTAGCAAGAGTATTCTGCTTTCAAATTTAAGTTGAATTGTTTCGCTACCAACAAAAGGAGCAGATTCCTCATGTAATGAGTATTCATTTAAATTAATACATGCGAGAATAGATCTTTTTGAAAAAAATAATCAAAATCAATTTTTATTGCTACTTCAGAAATTTATTGTCAAACTTAAAAAAATATCACAGGGTTAATTTGGGATTTTGTAAATTAATGTTAACGTTTATGGAATCAAAAGAGAATTTTTGTCCATATTTTCTTACTTTACAGATTAAATACCTAGAGATTTAGCTAACTTCAGCTTTGGCTGAATTAATTTTTTTGGTTCTGCTTTTTTTATTTATTATAACTTTTATTTTCTTAATTGAATTTTAGAGAGAGAGAAAAGGAGAGGGAGAGAGAGAGAGAGAGAGAGAGAAACATCAGTGTGAGAAAGAAGGCATTCGGTTCTGGTTTTTAATGAAATATGATCATTTTGTGTATGCTCTTGTATAAATTCTTTTTACTTGTATTTTGAGTCTCATTTCATTTCTGAGTATCCTACCATTTTATTTTATTTTAGGTATATTCTGTCAAGGGTGAATGACAATTTACTCAGTCTTATTTTTGAATATTTAGATTATTTCCAGATTTTTATTATTATAATGCTTTGATGAATATCCTTGAGATTATACCTTTGCTCATATACATTATTTGCGAAAGTTGAAATTGCTGGATCAGAGCACATTCTTTTTTTTAAGGTTGTTCATAATTGTAAAATTTTTCTGGAAACTTTTCTTGGGTTCTTATATTTATTTTCTTAAAAAGTGATTATGAAAATTTTAATCCTTTATATGGAAATAAACTTAAGGGACTTCAAATTAAAAATTTCCAAAATGGAGGTTGCTATATTCTTAAAAGATAATTAATACATGCAGAAAATTATAATGTTAAAAGATGAACAACTGATGGTTTTTATTGGTTTTGTTTGTTTTTTTAGGTGTTGCACCTCCCTCTTTTATAGCCATTAAGGCAGGAACAACACTGTACCAGCTTACAACAGCAGGGGAAGCTGTTTCCTGGAACTCAGTATTTGTCCTAATGATTTTGGCTCTTCTTTCTATACTGCCAGCCATCTTCCAAAAAAAACTAAAGCAGAAATTTGAGTGAAAAATCATCCTAGGTTTTAGTTTTCCTATCATCATCACCATCATCATCTCAGGACTGGCAGGTTTATGTGTTCAAATCACTTCTTCAGTAATTGAAACAAGGAATTTGTAAAATAAGATTCCCTATTAAGTAGTTAAAATAATGCATTTAAGTGGCAAAGGAGAGTAGAAAGAATGGAAATTGATATACCATGAAAAGTGCTATCAGTAGTTATGATAGCCATCTTCTAAATTACTTTATTCTAAGAGTAGCTATAACAAATTAAAACCAGCATTAGTAGGAAATTTTTGACCCAATTGGTTAATTTAATTTATTCATGAACTGGCTATAAATACTTATCCTGGGCTTGATATTTTAATATTTTTCTTTTTTATCCCTTACTAATAAAGTAGATATACAAAAGCAAAAATTCTACATTTTTAAAAATAGTATTGTAGTTCTGGCTAATATCAACCATCTTTCAGAGCATAAACTTAAAGCCAGTGTTTAAAAGAGATTTACACCTTCCTCTTACCTTTGAGGTAATGGATTTGTTTAGAATTTGCATCTTAGTGTACTACTGAATTGGGAAAGGATATCAAGTTATATCTATTTAGTGAATTTTATTTTATTTTTTTCTGTTCCAGATTATCATGGATTCGTTTGAAATGTAAAATTCTGACCAATATATTTTCATCTTCTTTTTCTAGCTTTCACAATATTTCCATTGTGCATATACAAAATGGTGATTACATGATAATTGTATCATTTTGGTGTTGTTAATTTATATTCAGATAATATTTTGTTACACAGTTCCCTCTTACTATCTCAAAAGGGGATCAAAAAAGCAAACATTTAACATGCAGGTTTTAGATGTTATATTAATTATATTACCTTATATTTTGAAATAGTGACAGCATAACACTTAGGTGGTTAAATATAGTTTATTTGTTCCAATGACTATGAAATTTACTTAATTTATTTATTAGTCTGGTCGTTAACATCTGTATTATGTAATTATCCTTTTTTATGCATGATATACTTATAAGAATGCCTTGTTTCATTTCTATTAATGCCTCTTTTGTTTGGGGCTACTTTTGGTTAATGCAATTTCCCAATTTAGTGTTTGTACTTTTTATAACTCAAAATATAATTAACTTCTCACATGGTAACTACTATATTTAAATGAAACAGCTTTTTGCTGCTTGCTTAATGGTAATACACTTGATTCTAGGACATAACTGATCTAAAGTAAAGTACTCTGTCAGTTTTACCTTCAGTTAAGACTGTCATGTTGAAAAGTACTGTAACTGTGGGAGAAATCCTTGTATGTTTTTATTGTGAGAGGTATGATCATCCTCAGAGCCTGTTTCTACTACATAATGTGGACTGATTTATTATTTTTTCTATCACAGTATTAACAAATGGATTTATTGTAAATACAAAGAAAATATATTGATTAATATACTATTCTTATGTCACCTGGCCTTTGTGTGAAATTATTTATTGTTATACCTAGCAAGGTTTTCTTCCTTTCTTATTGACCAGAGACTGAGTGATAAGCTTTTGTTATTTTTACATGTGAATTTAAAACATAATATTTTGAACAAAGGTCACTAAATATTACTGTATAAAATGTAATTGAATAAATTTTTATCAGACTTTTTAGAAGAGGTCTCACTATTCACTCCATTGTGTATATATTGTACTTACTCTATTCTCAGAGTATTTTCCCTATCCTTATCATTGATTCTTTCCCTTTGCTGGTTTTTTTTTCTGTTAGAAAACTGTAACTGTCACTCGAAGTAGGGTATTTTTTCTCTCAAGAGAATAGCCAACCTTCCTAGATTCATCATCATTGATTGCCAAGAAAGAATCCTGTAGCAGGCTATACTCTAAATGCCGTTGGTGCCCATATTCATAGATTCACATACTTGGCCTGATGCCAGATGTAGATTTAAGCTTCAGCCACATCTTGAAGACAGTTACATATAATAACCACAGAGAGTAAGTATGTGTAGTGAGGAGGCCTACAAGCTAACTACGAAATTGACATACTAAGTGAGACTGTACCCCTCTTAATAGCCCCTCTCTGGAATTCTATTACCTTGAGTGTAATATTTCTAAGATACTTAATAAATGCAAACTAAAATGTAATAAGAATAAATTATACTGAAAAGATTAAATTTGGTATTTTTTTCATGCTTAGTATTTGTATTAAAACATCTTTCATCAAATAGAAATATATTCTCTTGAAATTCTGATGTGCATTTTCAAGAACAAAGAAAATTTTTAAAACCTTAAATTTTGCTCTCAGTCAGATGGCCGGGGAGACGATTCTGACTGACATCACCATGGCCGCCCAAGGAGAACCCCAAGTTCTTTCAAACTTGTATTGGTTGGTGACGGTGGGACTGGGAAGACGACCTTCGTGAAACGTCACCTGACGGGTGAATTTGAGAAAAGTATGTCGCCACCCTGGGTGTGGAAGAGCACCCCCTCGTGTTCCACACCAACTGAGGGCCCATCAAGTTCAATGTGCTGGACACTGCCGGCCAGGAGAAGTTCGGGGGGCTGCGAGACTGCTACTACATCCAAGCCCAGTGTGCCATTATAATGTTTGATGTAACTTGGAGAGTTACTTACAAGAATGTGCCTAACCGGCATAGAGATCTGGTGCGTGCATGTGTGAGAACATCCCCATTGTCTTGTGTGGCAACAAAGTGGACATCAAGGACAGGAAAGTGAAGGCAAAATCAATTGTCTTCCACCGTAAAAAGAACCCTCAGTACTACGACATTTCTGCCAAAAGTAACTACAACTTTGAAAAGCCTTTCCTCTGGCTTGCTAGAAAACTCATCGGAGACCCTAACTTGGAGTTCGTCGCCATGCCTGCTCTTCCCCCTCCAGAGGTTGTCATGGCCCAGTGCTGGCAGCACAGTATGAGCATGATCTAGAGCAGTGATGGCAAACCTATGACACGCATGTCAGAGGTGACACGTGAACTCATTTTTTTGGTTGATTTTTCTTTGTTAAATGGCATTTAAATATATAAAATAAATATCAAAAATATAAATCTTTGTTTTACTATGGTTGCAAATATCAAAAAATTTCTATATGTGACACGGCACCAGAGTTAAGTTAGGGTTTTTCAAAATGCTGACATGCCAAGCTCAAAAGGTTCGCCATCACTGATCTAGAGGTTGCTCAGACCACGGCGCTTCCAGACGAGGATGACAACCTGTGAGGTGGAAGCTAGAGCCCAGCGTCAGGCAACTGTCCTGTGATGTCAGTGGTGCCGCGTGTTTGCTACTTCGTTATATAGCTAATCAGAACCTGTGCTTGATCCTTGGGATGCTGAAAGATGAATGGGCTTCGGAGAGAATGTGGCAGTTAAAAATACCTTCACTTTTTGGACCTGCATATTTAGCTGTTTTGGAATGCAGTTGTTTCCTTATTGAGTTTCAACTATAAGAAAGCTGCAGTTGCATCACGATACTCAGTGGTGAAACCTTGTTTGTTACTGTCATTCCCATTCTTTTTCGTTTAGAATCCGAATAAAGTTGTATTTCAAATTTTAAAAAACCTTAAATTTTTTTATAGTTGACTTTTAAAAAAATAATTCGTTTGTTTATTTTTTAATATATTTTTATTGATTTCAGAGAGGAAGGGCGAGGGAGAGAGAGATAGAAACATCAATGATGAGAGAGAGCCATTGATCAACTGCCTCCTGCATGTGCCCTTAACTGGAATCAAACCTGGGACCCTTCAGTCTGCAGGCCGACGCTCTATCCACTGAGCCAAACTGGCTAGGGCTATAGTTGACTTTTGAGAACCTTAAAGAAATTTAATGTTCTCTTTGGCTTTTAGAAAATGGGCAGAATAAATTAAAAGGGCTGAAGCTTTCCTGGTGTGTAAATGATCATTCATTGATGTCAGTTAGATGTGTAAAAGGTGCTAATGCAGTAAAGAAAAGACTCATTTAATTTATGAACACTGACACTATATATATATATATATATCTCCTATATAATAAAAGGCTAATATGCAAATTGTCCCCTCAGGCGTTCAACTGCTCGTTATGACGTGTGCTTACCACCAGGGGGTGGTGCAGAACGAAGGAAGGCCCTGATCGCCAGCCAGGCCTAGGGACCCTACCCATACCAGAATTTCTTGCACCAGGCCTCTAGTATGTGTGTGTGTGTGTGTGTGTGTGTATAATGTATAACTAGAGCCAGCTCTTATATTTAGAAAATACATCAAGAACAGAGTTTATACTCAGACTATTGGGATAGTTAAACATCAGAAAAATATATCAGTGTCATTTACCACATTAAGAGGAGAAAATATTATCTTGATAGATACAGGAAAACTTTTTGATAAAGTTCAATACCTATATATAACAAAAATTGTAGCAAGTCGGTAATAAGAATAATTTATTTTGATACATTGTTTGCCAAAAAACTACATTAAATGTTATTTTTAATAGAAAATTTTAGATGCACTCTCTTTAAGATTGGGAAGTAAATAAAGAATCCCACTATCGTTGCTGCAATTGGATATGGTACTGAAGGCTTTGGCCAAATGCTTTAAGGAAAGAGAAAGAAGTATTAGGTGTAAAGATTGGAAGGGAAAGATAAAACTTTTATTTGAGTTGATATAATTAATTTCATTAAATTTAATTTTTTAAAGCACCTAGCAGAATAAACAAATTTAAACTAAAATGAGCTCAGCTGGTGTAGTTCAGTTGGTTGAGCATCCTCCCATGCACCAAGAGGCTGCTGGTTCAATTCCAGTCAGGGCACATGCCTGGGTTGCAGCTGGATCCCCATTAGGGGAGGAGCAGGAGGCAGCAGATTGATGTTTCCCTTTCATCGATGTTCTAGCTATTTCTCCCTCCCCCTCCTGAAATCTGTAAAAACATATTAAAAGAAAAAAACAAAGTGAGGCATTGGCAGGGTTGCGGGACCCAACAAATGTGACACTAGTTAATAGGATCTACCATCTTAAAATATAATCTTTGGAATATCAGCCTTACACCACAAGATGGCCTCCACAAGAAATTTTTTGACAGCTTCTAAAGAAAGAAAAAGTTCTCAATATTGTTAGATTTACTTACTCTTCTACCTCTCTTACCTAACCATTAGCTCTTTGAGGTCAAGACATAGGCTGATGGGAGGGAAGATTGATGAAGTCCCTATTGACGCCCTGTGTTGCTTGGAGAAAGGAGCGTTGAAGAAATTAGAAGTCCCAGGAGGTGGGAGGCAGGTAGTGAGCATGGACGAGGTGCAGAGGGATGAGAAGGGTGCTCAGAGAGAAGCAACTTCAGGGAGGGGAAGTTGGACAAAGGTTGGGTCTGAGCAGATTAGAGCTCAAAGTTTTCAACTTCCTGCATTCAAAAAAGAGAAGTGCTGTTGAAAACGCTCTGAACGTGAAGTCTGGAATCTGAGTTGGAAGAGTCAGGACATGGGTCAGTGTAGTCAAAGAAACTACTCCAGGCTTGTTTGTTTCAAGTCAAGAAAGGGTTTAAAGTGCTCTCCCTCCAGGAAGCACATCCGAGCCTGTCCCCTTCCCTGCTTTTCCCCCAAGGGCGTTAGCTTTTCTCTCCTAAGCTCCAAGGGTCCTTTTTGTCTCTGTAACTTGTTCCCTGAGTCCATGTCTTCCTTCCAAGGGCTTCTTTTTATTTATTTATTGCCTATATAACTTTCTAAATAAACTTTCTCTTATTAAAAAAAAGGGGACGTTGAATAAATATATACTTACAAATTACGCGTTTTTAAAATAAATATGTTTTTACTGATTTCAGAGAGGAAGGGAAAGGGAGAGGGAGAGAGAAATATCAATGATGAGAGAATCATTGATCGGCTGCCTCCTGCACACCTCACACTGGGGCATGTGCCCTGACCAAGAATTAAACCGTGACCTCCCAGTTCATAGGTTGACCGCTCAACCACTGAGCCACGCTGGCCAGATATGAGTTATTTTTTTAAATTGACCAGATGTTTTAGCTTAGTTTCATCATTATTAAGGATATTATGGTAGAAGTACATTCCATTAGAATGTGTGACATTTTGGAGTTAGTTTCAAGCAACTGTATTCTAGATATTTTAAGCAGAAAAGAACTTCACATATGGAATGTTATTTTTTTTTAAATACGTTTTTATTGAGAGAGAGAGAGAGAGAGATGCTCTGACTGGAATTGAACTGGCAAGCTCTCAGTTCATGTGGTTCATGGGATGACAACCAGCTGAACCACACCACAGGGCCACACATATGGAATTTCAGATTTTACAAAATCACTGGAACGTTTGGAGGAGCAGGCTTTCGACTGAAGATCCAAGAATGGCTCCTAGAAAAATCCAGAACTGGCAGTAATTGTGTTTAAGAGCTCACCACTATATCTGTGATTCAGAGCCCTTGCTGCTGCTTAGATCCTGAAGAGAGCCTGCTACTTTTGCCACTGTAACTCTGTCACATCATCCACA